TAATAGAATATAGCAATAACTAGCTAAAACATCATATGGACACACATATAGATATGAAAATAAATGTAGGAAAATAGAATAAGGTGTCAATTATAATTAATTAAATGTAATTTTAATCAGCAAGCTTTCGATGATATCTCTCTTCATCAATATATATATATATATTTATACATAATAATATATAGTATAATATACATATATTTATATATTATATATATATATATATATATATATATTATACTGTATATATATATTTTAATATTTATATTTACTGCTTATAATAACAACAACTTCGGACACATATTCTGTTATATCTCTGGCTGGTTAAATGAGCGAGGTAGTTGCTGGCGTGGGATTGCAGCTAACATGTTGAGATGCTAGATTGACGTGAGGCGCCGCTAAACGATCGGCCGTTACTCCCCGACAGACTAGATGCTTCGATCCGGTGACTGACAGGCCATCCGTCAGTCGACAACCTGTCATCCTGTCTCTTCTGTCTCGCCCCCGCATCCTAACTATCGGCCGACTGTCTGTCCACTGATCTATAGCCATCTATTCACTGGTTCATATGTCAACCAGCATGTCGGTCTGGTTTGAGTTCTCGCACGCTCGTTATTCGTTCAGTACGAATCAACGTCATTATCTAATTACGATATTTTACGTCTCTGAATGGTGTTATACGGTGGTAACCCCGCTTTATCGGGCCTATAATAAACGGACGCATCGCTTAAACGACATGCGTCTTTGAAAACCCATTCTTACATGCAGGGTGTTATGTGTTCACCGCTTAATCGGAATCACCGCTTAACTGGGATATTTTCGTGGTTTCCGAACTGTCACCATAAAACCGGGATGACTGTATTTATTCGAACAGATACATGTTGTGTAGATACTTGTCAAAATAATGTTTCATCTTAATTCGCCATTACGAGAAAGTGACGTGTGTGTAGTTCAATTTGAAATCGGCAGTGATGGTTTGCCACTAAATCACTCATTTTTAAACCGTTTGTTCAATGTTTAACTGTGACTACAGGACAGTATGTACTACATTGGCTTATCTTGTTTAACATTGAAATTTTCTTATTATACGCCAGCACTCTTATGAGAAAGAACGGTTTTCCTATAACGCGTCAGTTTAAACTTTCCGTTGAGTATAGATGGCGCTAGCGTTTGTTGCGGCGATGGTTGGTATTGATTTTCAGTGACTTGCCTCCTATGGCTGGTTATAGAGACGAGATTGTGTCGGTTGCAGGCACGGTGGCTGCATGTAATATGGCGTATTTTTATTCATTTTTCATAGTATTTCTTCACGTATTTGTCAATTTTTTTGCCAATTATTTCGTTTAATCGCTATCTTTTTTTCCGTATTTTTTACTATTCAATCAATCCGTTGGCTGTTCTGTCGGTAGGTTGATCGTTCAATGTGTCTCTCGGCCACTCACTCCGTCACTCCGTCACTCCGTCAGGGCGTCAGTCAGTCCGTCAGTCAGTCATGTTAGTTTTATATTACGTCATCATTTATAATCTTTTGCTACAGCTAGTAATGTATCGTGATGTTTGTGCTAACGACATACCAGTCGTGACCCATCACCACAAAATGAATCTTAATGCCCCAAAATTATATTTCTGTGTTGTGTACGTGTTTATAAAAGCTGGACTCTCAATTATAAAATAAAGTATAATTTCAATTTAGTTTATATTTATTATATAAAATTTACTGTGACAACAAAATATATATCGATATTCAGGAATTTGTTTTCGCAACTTATTGAGAAAACTCCAAGTTAAGATATTTTCCAGCACCAGACGCCCTTAGACACCAGAATTCTATGGGTAGCTCTACTTTTGCGCGTATTGGTTTAATATTACGATATCGACTTCAATAAAATAATTTAATAAATAAAATGTATTGGTAACTGCCGATCGTGGCAGTGAGGCTGACATCTAACTATACATCATAACTAACTATTATGATTATTCATGGATTAAATAATAACATTACTCATAATTCGTTTACAAGTACAACAATCAACATAATTTGTTATAAGTAACAGTGTTGGAAATATCAACCCGTCCCTGATTCGGGACTGGTAGCCTTTAAGCAGGACTGGCAAATTTTTATTGTTTTTACTATAGTTCATATTGTAGAAATCACAATCTTTGAAATCACCACTGGCTGAGTTTTCAGAATTTTATGCGTTAATA